GATCTGCCAGTAGTGGACTAAAATTGCCTCCTTGTGGGACACCTTTAGTTTGCTTGAACGTATTATTAGCAAAGAGACAAAAACTGTTTACGTAAAAGATAGTCAATAAAGTAAACTAAATCGCTGGATTTGTAATATCTGTAGTTGTTCTTAAATTCTTTACCATCTGTATAGAAAACATGGTAACCATTAGTGGCAATAAAGGATCTGTCGGCATTTTTGAAGCAAATATGTTAAGAAGTTCTTGCATTTTCTTTACAATAAGGTCATGTTCTAAATTTGTGAACATGTCCGTGAAATCCGCAGTGTAAATTCTGAGATTGTCGAACGTGATGTTGTGTAGTTCTTGACTTATATTAATATTACTTATAGACCAGTATGTCTTGATAGTCCTGTTGCGGTTCTGTATTACTCTGGCGTAGTTAATAAAGTGATTTTTGAGATGTGTGAAGATTATGCGTAATTCTTGGGCCAAAGGCTTAACACTACTGCTATGTGCACCTGTGATGTATCTGAATTTAACTGGATTCTTATGTAGCTTTGGTAAGGCATATATAGTAGGTATTTCTGCATCACAGATATATTGATATTATTCTTTGCACAGAGGAATTTATGCTTCAATATTAAAGAATACTTGTTTGTATGAGGCATTAATTCATATGTGTTATTACTGTTTCCATAGACAAATGTGTGGTTGGCAGCATCATAAGAAATGCCCATTTCATGCATTATGTTCAAAAGGTAGAACTTCTTGCAGATGATGCCATAGTTATTATTTGCTTTGTCGAGAGGACAGAACACGTATTTTTCTTGATATTGTTTGATCAAGTTGTAAGGTATGTGTTCTCCTACATTTTCAATATTAGCCTTTGTAAGTAGAGGTTTAACTTTGTCATGGTAACATGTACGAAAATGTTTCTGTAATAGAATAACCTTGTGATTGCTAGGGTTTTGTATTTACGTTTCAAATAATTCATCCCTTGATGATGTAGTCTTCAAACACCATTTTAACTTCTTGTCTTGTTATGCCTGTGTCTGAACGATATTTGGTCCCTTTACTCAGTAGTCTTCTGAAACTCTCTTCTTTTATAAGATTTACATTCCCTGTGATAACGTGTTTATAATTTTTATCCACATATTCTTGTACTGTATTTGTAGTACATATACAATCGTTGTTGAGTATTTGCTTCAATTTTACGTTGTCGAGATCTTTCAACACTTTGTTGTAGTTGCAAATGTTGCTAGCCATTGTGTTGTTGTACTTATAAATAATTCTAATTGGGGTGAAATCACCAATCCTTCCATTATCGCTGAGTAGTATATCTCTAACAGTACGTGAATTGAAGATTCTGTTGAAGGGTATTTCATTAAATACTCTGCTCTTGAAACTGACCTCTACGTTATGATATTTCTTTCTGGTGACTTCTTTTGTGGTAGTGTCAAAATGAAAGTGAGCTAGCAGGCAAAATATTAAGTACCTAGTCTTATTATTTACAGTGTAGAAGTCTGCGGACGATGTGAGAGCTCAATAAACATTCTTAATTCCTTCTTCTACGCAGACTCTTGAGGCATTCTGTAGTACTGGAACAGGTTTGACGTGATTCATTATTAGCTATTAGCTGCCCCTACACCTTACATCAAGGCCAGCTTTAATTCCTAAGCTTTGGGCAAATTGTAAGGGCGTCCTGCACACGACGGGTCTACGTCATTTTCATGATGTCTGGCCTCATATCCGCTGTTCACTGGACTCCAGACTGCACGGCGGGGACGCGGGCGTTCCGTACGCAGTTGAAATCTTGATCTAGCCGCTGACTGGCTGGCCTTCCGTGAAAGCGAAAGGTTGTGCTTCCTTTCCGAGCGAGAAGCAAAGCAGCACCCGGAATGGGTGTCTGCGGTAGCGATCTTTCTTTCCACTGGGAAAGAGATTTAGCCGCGTGGAAAGAACGTTTGGGCGAACGTTTGGCCATGAATCAGACCCCGCATTACAAAAGGGAAAATCGCATCCAAACTGAGAATCACTAGAAGATAAATCGAGACCTCGCAAGATGAGGAAGGCGCCGTCAGAGTAGGTCTGTTCCAGCCGCTGATACCACATAGTAGCGGAGGAAAATTCAAATGCCTTCTTCAGTTCAATATACAAAATGGATTGGAATGAATCTAAACCGCTCCAAGAACAACAAGGGCGAGCCAAGCGATACAGGTGCTCGAGACAAGTAGGGATAGCTTCTCGATGCTCATGAATACGGCGCTGAGCAGCACTTGTTACTCATTAGTGCGTAGCTGCCGAGTGAAAACCGCAAAACTTCGCCGTTTTCTACAAAGGCAGAAGAAGCATGAAGTGGTTTCTTGGAAGCGATTATAGCGTAGGATCCATTTAATATTTAAGGCTCGACCAGGAACCTGGTACGATGTTGGTCATTATTTGCCTACGTAGTGACCAACCTGCACCTCATTTGCACTCCATGGGCGAATGCAAACAGTTTTGGGGTTACGGTAATCGCTTGCGGTGTGCAATTACACGGCTACCCTTCGTGTATTTACGTAACATCGTATGACAGACCATGTGCGTCACGCGGCCAGCATTTTTACCACACCTTTATCATGTCAGAAACAGAGCGAGAGTTGTAAACAGTCTTGATCGTAAAATGTACGGTCCTGGAAAGTACTCAAGAAGCATATTAGGCTAATTCAAGTGTGGAATGGACAAAGTTTCTCTACGCTTCATGAAACGCCGTGTCGCTCAAAGATTGCGATACGGAGCTGGGAAGCGACCACCCTCCGCGTGGGGCAGGTGTAGTACACGCTCGCTCCTATGCGCCGTATCACTCCCTTGTTTATTACGCGCTCCAGCGTGGCATAAATAATCGTTTCGTTTTCAGGAGGTATTCCCACGTTGTCTCAGCTTCGGGATTCCACAATAGTTAGCATTGGATTAGCTCATAGAGTTATGGGACTGTTTTTAAGTATAATCAAGTGCTAAACGCGAAATTAGCGAAAAAACCTCTTAATTGTTGAAAAGTTGATTTCAGGATCCAATGGACCCCTTAACGCGGTGTGTGCTACCATCAGAATGTGAACGGAAGTGCAGTGATCCACTTAAGGTAAGAACTGATCCAAAGGATCAAATGAAGCATAGTTTCTTATCACTTCAGCGTTCATTTGACCATTCAGCAGTGCAATTCCGAGACGTTGTTCGGCTTGGGGGGTGGGAAGGTTTCCGCTCTTTTGCTACCCTGTTTTAAAAACAAAATAGCAAAAGTTACACTTAAATTATCTGGTGAGGCCTGTAGACTCTTGTTAAGTGCAAACGAAAAACATGCTATTGCACAGCTTTACAAGAACTCACAGGTCTCCACGTAAGGCATCGGAAATAATCAAAGTAGCCAGAAGAGTTACCCCCACCGAGCTGAAGGAGCCAAACTGCGCCTTTTCCTGATTTTTCTGATACGTTTTGTTGGCAAATTCATGCAGTCACGATTCCTGGTCTGCATGTGCAATTCTGGATGGGAATAGGAAGCGTGGCATATCCCATGAACAGGCTAAACGATAGCTTTATCCTGAAGCTTTCGAACTGTTATTCAAACTTTGGCACTGGTCACCCCTTGCTCTACCATTCGAAATTCAGGTCACATTTTGATCAAAATTATTTCTTTGGGGTATATTTCAACGAAACATGTTCGCGTGTTTGACCTGTGAACAATTTCGCCTCGATGCTCAAGGGGCTTGGCACCGCGGCGATCGGCCCAAGGCCAGATTAGGAGGCTAAGGGAGAGCCTGGTTGCACACTTCATGTTGAACATGACCGTTAGGCTGCCGCGTTTCCGGTCCTATAGGCGACTCCTGTTTGAGCTGGGCAAAAATATGATCAGCATTGCCTCCTAGAAGCGCAAGGATCTTAACCCAATTGCCCAGTCCGCTGGCTAGTCGCTCGCCAACGTTCAAATGAAGCAAGACCAGCCGACATACAGCCGTAGCAGCCCCTGGGTTATGGAATGCCAGCTAATGCCGCCAGATCTGTAGAAGCTAAGGGTAGGTAATTTATGTTCCGATGCGGGGGGGGCGGTCAACAACCCAGGAGATAACAGCGCTCACCCGTCTCCACCCGTTGATATATCGCTCGTTCAAAATTCTTGGTAATGAGGCTGCTCAAGCAATTTAGTTTTCACCAAGGCCTCTGCTTTTAGCTGCGTTTTTATACTTGGGCGGCAGCGTAGCGTAGGCGGTAGCGTAGCGTAGCCGGAGCGTAGGTAGCGCTTCGCAGCGTAGCGCCAGCGGCAATGCCCGAAGAGAGGATTGCCATCTGCGATCTAGCTTCACCAGCGTCACCAGCGCACGCTAGCGTACGCTAGCGTTTCTCCAGCGTTTCACCAGCGTTTTGCTAGCGCTTGCAGCGGCAGGGAGTAGAGACTATGTGCCCGTCGGAGACGCAGAAGCGATGTGCATTGTAGAGACTATGTGCCCGTCGAAGACGCAGAAGCGATGTGCATTGTAGAGACTATGTGCCCGTCGAAGACGCAGAAGCGATGTGCATTGTAGAGACTATGTGCCCGTCGAAGACGCAGAAGCGATGTGCATTGTAGAGACTAAGGGCGAGTGAGACGGGCAATCGATGTGTTTTGTCCCCTCCAGCTCTCCCATAGTCTCTACTCCCCTGCCGCTGCAAACGCTAGCAAAACGCTGGTGAAACGCTGGAGAAACGCTAGCGTACGCTAGCGTGCCGCTAGCGTACGCCAGCGTGCCGCTTAGCGTTACGCGCGAGGTGTGCCGCTGGTGACGCTGGTGAAGCTAGATCGATATGCATCCTCTCTTCGGCATTGCCGCTGGCGTACGCTGGAAGCGCTACGCTACGCTGCGCTACCTGACGCTACGCTGCCGCAAAGTATAAACGCAGCGCTTAGTTGGAGCTACTCTCATTGCCATTGCAGCTTCAGTCCCACTGTTGCCAGGACAAATTCGCTCCTCATGTGAATATGAAGCAATGTAGAGCAAAAGTAAAATGCATGGCGCGCTCCAAAGAACTTCATCGTCTGAAGTGCATTCTCCTCGTTCCTTTCTTCCTTGTTCAAGCAGTGCTTTACAAATCGCCTATTCCTCTGGCAGTTAATTCATCGTCTGCGGCTCGTCATGTCCAGTTGGCTGCGATAATCGACGGCCACAAAGTTGTACACCTTGTGAATCCGGATGCTTCTGTAAAAACGGTATGAGCTGACATTCATCTTAAAAATTATTTTCAAGAAATACAAGAATTTGTGACTATACTGGGCAGTTGTTTTCGATTTGGGCCTGGGGCGTGTCAGGAGTGGGTTTGCGTCAGCGCAGCTTCAACGCGTTCTGGTCGCTTGCTCGCCCTCAACAGGTGGCGGGAGATACAGGGCTGGGCGCTGCTCGCAAACCCAGCCCACCTGGCTGCCTCGAAAACGAACTGCACGAATCCTTCTGTAGGCAGATTGAAATGCACCTTGTTTCAGGCTTGGTATTCTTGAACTCAACAGATTGGCGAAATTCTGACTGTGTACGATTTGATGAATGTCCTGCGTTCTACAAAGAAGCCGCTGAGGCCTCTGAAGAGACAACGACAGAGACAGTCACTACCGTTTCCGAGTCAACGAATACCGACGAAAAAGGTCTTGTAATCACAAGTGGGTTCATCTATTTTTTTTTTTGCTAATTTGGAAGGTCCCTTCCAGTACCGTATTGTACAGTGAGCGGAGACCTGAACCTCAGGCCCAGACTAGCTCTTTGTATCCCCTGGGACTGATTAGGGATCAGCACTGGCATGAAAGCTAAACGAGGATTCCGACCTGGATATGAGCGAAACGTGCCATGGTTGCTAGGGAGACTTTAGCACTATCATCCGGCTCTATCTCGTAATGCCTCTGCAGAGTCACGTTTTTGCAATATAGGACCGCTCCATCAAATTTCCTCCCCTTGACATGACACCCCCCCTCCCCTTCGTTCTCCCACCTATTGTCTCCCTAAATTTCCCTAACTTCCTGCCACTTTTCCTGGCCTTTTTTCCAGAAACTCTCAACTGTCGTAGAGCGAGAGGGAGGGATAAGGTGCATATCCCACTCGAAAGAGCAAATTGTGGAAAGTCAGCATCCCAAAGCATTTCTCGGAGAAAATACGACCCCATTACCCGAGTAACCAATTAGGACCCCCCCTCGCTGGAAATCCCCAACGCACGGCGCGCCCTGTGCCTTTCCCTCAACCTGTAAGCTCAAAAAGAGCAGGGGACACGCGTGAAGCTCCTCATCGGGAAACAACGCATACGCTCCCATGTCCAGAGCATTTCGAATACGCCCACCCCCTCCCTCCCGCCCTTCTTGTTGAGCATTTCTCAACTGAGTCTTACTCTGGAGGAAACGCTCATACCCAGGAGGCTTAGACCACGCTCGGATTTCGCGTTGACCGCGGTCGCATCACCGTTGCATTGGCGCTGCAGTGCTGTAGACAGGTACCGATCGGCGCGGGCCGCTGCTGTTTTGGGAAAGTGTAGGAGAATAGGAGTGTACCAAACTGAATGCTAGTGTTTTGGAGAGTATAGAAAAAAAACAGGAGAAATGGTACGCAGTCTGTTATTCCTCCATTCTCCCACTCTCCTCAAAGTACTACCACAAAGCCTAGTACGGTCCCATTGTGGTCCTATTCTGAGTGCCCAGGCACCTGATCTGAGTGTCTGCTTGCGGACTCTGAGGGTGCACCAGACTATGCGATGCTGTTTTGGGGAAAGGAGAATAGGAGAGTGACAGACTCCTATACTTCCCCAAAATCCACGGCATCAGGATCGATACCCGTCCACGGCAGGGTTCTTGCTTGTAGCACTGGAGAGCCTTTGCAGAAGTAGCGCGTCAATGCGCGTCATCGCGTAGTCTAAACACGGCCTTGTGGCCTTCTCTTTGACTGAAAGGCAGAGAATTGTCCGAAAATGCTGTAAGTGAAACACGTGTGTTTATATTGAGGTGCTCCTATCAATGTCTCTGGTGAGGCACGAGCCTACACACTTTCAACATTTATAGAAGTGTCTTCACTGTGTCCTTCTGTGACGATGGATGTTGGTGGAAGATCCTGTGCAACAGATGGAGACTGTCCAGTGGAGCAGGTTCTGAGCATGCTTCCTACTAACTAATTTTCCCTTACCTGTCAAGACTACTCTGTTTTCAGCGATGTTGCCGACCGATGATCGTATCGCTGGCGGCGAATCCTCAACGATGCACATGTCCCGATCCGAATGCCGTTTGGTCGGCTTGCGGAAGTCTCTGCCCGGAATACTGTGGGCAACCGGGAGTTATGTGATTTGTTCTATTTCATTCCCACTCCACACTTTTCAGTGAATGACAAAATGCTCATCCCACATCCTCAGAGCCAAGTAGCTCTTAGGAGATCTCTTTCATCAGGGGCTTTTTATAGGTCCCACACTGCTCGTCGACTTGCAATGCCGGTTGTCACTGTGCTCCAGGATTTGTAAAAAGCAGGAACGACATCACGGCTCCTTGTGTTCCACGGACTCAGTGCCAAAATTTCACTATCAGTGAGCCCCGTGAAGTCCAGTGAGTCAGTTTCGAAATTGCGAATATCGTTGCCACGTTACAGCACGTTATATTCTAAAAACCTGAGATTTTCTTGATGATTCTGAAAAATGTAAATGTAGGTGTTCCGGAATTTATCGACCGACCCAAGGATATGAAAATTGGATGAAAAGTTTGGCAGGAGTCCAAATTCAAACTCCTTCAAACTTATTCTCAAAAGAATTTTCGAGTTCATTTACCTGACGAGATTGCAGTCTTGTTCGCTGCGGACGAGGGGGTCATATCAATGCGGCTGGCTTTGGCGCGCCGCCATTCCGTTCTTCATCAGCTGTTGAAGCGGGACAGCGAGAACAATTGGTGGGAAACGATTGACACAAATGATATGATGCAGTCTTGTCGGTTGCCGAAAAAAAAGAAAGGCACCAGCATTCATGAGTGGAGAGTATGGGGGATATGATGGTAGCGCAGAGCTGGCAGAATATGGGTAGATAAGAGGGTAGTGGACTGCTGGTAGAGAGTATGGC